CTGCACGGCCTCCTCAAAGCCAGGAAGTGCCTTCCCCCTATAGCAGCCCTTGCCCTGAGCACCATGGCCTGTGGCTGTGAGCCCACACAGCCATATCATGATGTACTTTGTCTCGACTCTCTGACACATCGACATTTCTAGCCAGTTTCCACCACTAACGATTCAGAAAAAGGAAAACTGGCTGAAAATGAGTTGAGAATAAAGCAAACAAATGGAAAATGGTAAATGTACAAAAATGATTAAAGATGCTGCCAAGATTCCAAAATAGCACCAGGGCCCATGACAGCAATGTCACTTTGGATGTAGTAGAAAATCAAAACAATAAAAATAAGAAAGCAACAAAACGCCTTCTGTAGCTAATGTTTCTGGAGCAATCTCATCCGATGGGTCATATGGTAAGAGTTCGTTCTCGGCCACCGTCCGTGGAGGACTCGAGTCCCAGCACCCGGAGCCCTGGTGAGGACGTGGCCGCCTGGGAGCTTCCCAAGGTCACCCCCAGGCTAATCGTGAGCAACCACCTCTGGGGTCAGAAATGGGGGGACAGTGGGTGGGCAGCATGGGAGACCGGGAGACGACCTGAGTCGTGCTCCGTTGCAGCACCTGGGTGAGTGGAGTTTTTATCCTGCCAATTTGTTTGAGGACCGAAGTCTGCAGCTGTGCCCCGGGCTGCTTGCTGTGGTGAGGCTGTGCGGAGGGCACACGGGGACGGCCCTGCCCTGGCCAGCGATCGCCGCGGATCAACATGCTCGTGTTAAGGGTTCGAAGAAAGAGAGGAGCAGTGAAGATGGTGGCAAGCAGCTAACGAAGAAAACCCAAGACAGCAAGCGCCCTTCAGCCACGGTTGCCGTGCGGGGATCTTCAGGGGGCTGCCTCACACCCTGGAAATGCAGCCAGGAACTGCAGTGTCTGCTTCTAGATGCCATCACCACAGCAAATTCCCGAACTTGCTGACGGCGCTTGGCATTCCTCCTACAGATCCTACTGTCTGTGTCCAGGAGGCTGAGCACTTCAAGATGCAGCATTTCTTGCCACAGTGAAACACTTGTGTCCTATGCGATCTTTAAAAAGCCTGATTTCAGGGGTCTGGGCCAACTACTACTCATGTTACCAGAGTGAAATGTTTCAGGACAGAGTAAGAGCTCTGAATGCTAGCTATGAATAATGGTTACTGACAAATGCAGACTGAAAATAAAAAAGAGAAAGAAAAGAAAAATCCCAACCAAACAAGTGTGCACCAACCACACGCATTGGATTACAAGGCATCTTCTAAACATAGCTACGCATCAGCCACGAAAATGACCCTGTGCTGAGTGCCTGTCACTTAAAGTCACTCTCTGACGGGAGCACTTACTGATCCCGACGAAACCCACCTGCAAGCAAATGGCCAGGTTCACTCTGCAGCCGAAGGAGGTGCTCACGGCCCGCGGGTGGAGACCCAGGTCTTTAAAGAGCTTTGAGAATGACTGGGTGAGTGCTATCCGAGGCCGTTCCTCTGCCACGACCACACACGTCCGCACGCGGGACAAGTCCAGTCCTCGTGCCTAGAAGGAACAGCGGTTAAGAGGTCAGCCTTCCAGGTGCCGGGTGTGACCTTAACCAGGTGGACGCAAGCAACACAAACTCCACACGGACATTCACTTCCTGGGCTCTGTGTGTCCACGTCATTTGACTGTCCTGGGACGTCTGTGCGGGGGGAAATCCTACATCAGAGGACCGAGGATGCCATTACAAACCCATCTTAAATAACAGCAAGATGCAGCCGCAAGGGACATGAGGAGAAGCAAGGTCCTGGATAAAATATTTAACAGGACAGGGTTTGGGGAAGCGAGGTACACTACAAACACGGATACAGAAGAGTGCACCCTGGACAGAAATGAGAAGACCTATTTGTAATATAGAATGGAAAAGTAAAGTGTTTGGACAATTTCATAAAGATAGCACTCCTCTTAAGTCCCACGAGACTGAAAAGATTCCCATCTAATTCTGACGACTGTGCGCGACGGAGCTCAGCTCAGGAACCCTTCCCATGCCCTGTGACACGGTGCTTCCCTAGGACGCTCGGGCGTGCTCCCCAAAGCCCTCTGAGGCCTATGACAGGCTGCTTACCTTGAGGGAGTCTGTCTGCGAGCCCAGCCCCTTGGTACAAAGTTCCATCACTGAATAGGAGCAAAATGTATCCCGGACTTTGTACTGACTCACGGCAAGAAGCCACAAGGCAGGGTTGGTTTCCAGCTCAGAAGGCGGGATGAGAATGGACTGGTGCCCTGAGTAGACACTGCAGAGAGAGACGGGAAGGGCTCGTGAGGGTAGGGCCGCAGGACCCACCCACCACCCGTGTTGCAGAAACACCTGCTGCCCATTTGCACGAAGGGGGCACTCAGGCCACTGCCCCTCCAGGTGTGCAAATACAAAACGAATGTTCACGAAAACATCCTGCAAAGCACAAGAGAACTATAGGACTCTTGATTCAGTGACTGCCTTTTTGAGCGCTCACCCGAAACCTCTAGACGCTATGAGGCAATATATAGGGTTCTCTCAAAGCTGCTACATTCACAAAATGTAGGAAACGCAGGGTCGCTTTTATAAAAATGTACGTTTTCTTTGGAGGAATGTCTAATCAAGTCCTTTGTCCATTTTTTTGATGTGATCTCTATGCCCAACATGGGGCTTGACCTCAGGACCCTGAGATGTCGCTTGCTCAACCAATCCATTTTTTTTTCCATTGGTTTTTATTGCATTAATGATGGAGGAATCTTAAACCCCTATAGGTTAAAAACTAAAATTCAGAAAGTGTGACAAGTCATCCAGTTGTGAGTAATTTGCTGTTAGTGCTGCACACACATGTTGTGATGGGACATCATAATGGTGCACTGCTTTTTCTTTTGTTTAATTGCTTAATGTATAAGCCAGGAAGGTTAATCAATCTGATCACCTTTGAAGGAATAGCAGAAGTAGTTGAAGAAAACGCCGTATGCCAGTCGCTATTTACGCACACGCTGTATGAAATACACTCAAGCACCTCAAAGCACACCTCAAACTGTTCTGAAAAATAGTCTATTTAAAAAAAGAAAAACATGGCTGACTAGGAGGAAAAAGAAGACATTGTGGTAACATAAAATTTCACAACCGTAGTTCAGCGATTTCAGCTTACTAACCTGAGAAAACATACAAACCCTCAGAACTTGGGCACTTGGAGCAAGGCAGACGCACGGCTCCCTATAACACACGTACCCTGTGGTGGGCAGGTTACTGTCTGCCCTGTGTGCCTGTTACCCCGATGACAGGCTGTTTTCTTTTTTTAAAAGAGTTTTATTTAGGTATAACGTGCATACCATAAAATCCACCCCATGAAAGGATTTTTACTAAATTTGCAGAGTTGTATCCTTATCACCACAATGTAGTTCTAGAACATTTCCAGCCCACCTGTGCCCCACCGTGCTTCGACCCCAGCCCCAATCAACCACTACTCTACTTTCTGTCTCTGCAGGAGCTGCCTTTCCCAGACATTTCATATAAATGGCATCCTACGATACAGTCACAGAACATGTGGTCTTTTGCATCTGGCTTCTTTCTCTTCGTGAGCTGTTTCTGAAGTTTATCTGCATTGCAGCTGTATTGCGTTGTATGGATATGAACAAACACTGTTCATCCTGGTCGACCTGTGGATTTGTCTTTTTCTTGCTTGCGTGCTTTTATGAAGGCTGCTAGGGACATTTCATACATCAAGGCTTCCGGTGATTTCCCTATGCTTTGGCAGATGCTTTGGCTGATGCCTACGAGCAGAACTGCTGGGTCAGACTGTGAATTTATGTTTAATTTTTAAGAACGTGCCCAACTGTGGTTTCACCATTTCACATTCTCATCAACAATGTAGGAGAATTCCAGTTTCTGCACATCCTTGGTTACTGTTGCTTTGTGGTACAGTTTTGAAACCAGAAAATACAAGTTCCCCAACCTTGTTACTTTCTGGGGTTTGTGGCTATATCTGCTCCAGTGGGTATGAAGTGTTATCTCACTGGTTTTAATTTGCATTTCCCTAAACAATGTTAAGCATCTTTTCATGTGCTTATAAGTCATTTGTGTATTTTTAGTGAACTGTCTATTCAAATCTGTTGCCCATTTTTAAATCATGTTGTGTGTCTCCTTCTTGAGTTTTGAGAGTTCGTTTTATATTTGGTCGGAGGGACTCTATCAGGTTATGATTTGCATATATTTTTCCCCAGTCTGTGGCTTGTATTTCCAACTTTCTTAATAGTGTTGCTTGATGTGCCCACGTTTTTAGTTTTATTGGAGCAGCATCTGTCAATATTTCTTTTATGTATTGTACCTCTGGTACCGTATCTAAGAACTCTGCCTAGCTCAAGATTATAAAGACTAATTCCTCTGTCTCCTTCTAAAAGTCTTATTTCCTACATTAATGTCTGCAACCTACTGTGAATTTATTTACATGATGCAACGTAAAAGTTTAATCTTTTTGCAGGAGAACGACCAACATTCCCAAGCATCATTCATTGAAAATACTACCCTTTTATCATTGAGCTGCCGTGGTACCTTTGTTGAGAAATGAAGTGACTACATGTAAGAGGTCACCACAGTTTCTGCACTCCCAATTCTGTTTCACTGGCTCTTTTCTCTGCATCTACCTTCCTACTACCTTTACGTTAGCCCAGCCCTGGCCTGGTTATCACATAAATGTTGAAACTGGGAAGTCTGAGTTTTCCAACTTTGTTATTCTACTCTAAAATTGTTTTGGATATTGTGTGTTTTTTTTTTTTTTTTTTAATTGTAGTATAAAGTTGTCCATTTCTGCTAAAAAAAAAAAAATCCCTGCTGAGATTTTGACAGGAATTACATCAAATCTCTAGATCTATTTTCAGAGAATTTCTATTTTAATAATATTAAAACTTCTAACCCATGAATATCAATGATTGGAAATGCTTTTTAAGACATATTTGATCTTAAGACTATTTTGAAACAATTCTGTTAATATCATGATTCTCAGAGAAATAATCCTCTATTTTATGACTGAAGGGAACTTTAGGATGGAGACACAAGAAGTTGTATTAAAGTTTTTAGAAATGTTGAAACCATTGTAAAGTTACAGAAAAGTTTTAAGTAGAAATAGCTTTTTCCCCTCTTGAATCACTTGAGGATGGGTCAGTGACCTGATGATGCCCCATCAACCCAAAATACATCAGCAGGTATTTCCAGGAAACAAGTTTGTATTTCTCCATATGGCCAACTAAGACATCAAATCAGGAAACATACATTTCTTCCACTGAAGCCTCGAACCCTCTTCACGTTTGCCGGTGGTCCTGATGGTGACTTTTACAGAGAAAGGAGACCGTTGGGAGACACATGCACAGACACCATCAGCCCGCCCGCTGGGTCCTCAGGGCTTGCGTGACTCTGTGACCCTGGCGTTCGTGGTCACAGACAGCAGCTACGGGCATCCCTCAGTCTGGGTCTGATGCTCCCTGGACTCAGTGGTTCAGGGAAGGGTCTTTGTCAGGAAGACCCTGGACGTGACACTGTTTCCTTCGCTGCAACTCTCTGGGTGACGCACAATGGCCCTGTTTCCCTGCCGTGAAGGTTCTCTCCTCCCCTTTATTAACAACTATTTTCTAGATGTCTACTCTATCAATCAAGCTTTCAATTTGTCCGTCTGTCTGAATAGTGAGATAATTTCCTATTTTATCCAGTCTTACCTATCATAATCTTTATTTTGATGCTGAAATTCCCCCCAATTTGACGAGTGGGAGGCCCTCCAAAGGACATGTCACCCTCCTACCACGTGCGCTTTTTCGCACAAAAAGACATTCAGGTTCACCTTGTACATTTCCTGTACCAGCCCTGAAATCGGCCATTTCTTGAGTGAACACTAGCTCATCTGAGAGACTACTGGTATCCACAGTATTGACAGGTGCGGGGCATTCTCATCACTCCTGGGGTAGATGCTCCCAGGTCCAGTTTTTAAGCAAGTTTGTCTGGATCTGTTTCTACAGAGGACTTCAGAAGGAAGAAGTTTAGAGTTCTTATGTGTTTATTTCAGCATTGCAGAGGCAATCAACAGAACATTGTAATTTCAGGACTTCGGAACGAATTTGCAGGAAAGATGCTCATTAGGCAGAGGTTCCTTAGAGCCCCTTTCAAGAGCCCCACCATGTCCCTGTTGCTACTGGTACACGTCAAACACTTACTTTCCCACTGACAGGCAGCCTCTCTGGTGATGTCACGAGGGTTAGGCTCGGCAAGCCCCAGGACGAGAGAGCACTCCATCCACTGGCTTCGGCTCTATTGGTGTCCTTGCCAAGGGACACACAGTCTCCTCCACACACAGTTGGTGGTTCAGGACAGGCTTCCTTCTCAGTTGGCCAAGGGTCACTTGGCCCCTCTACTGGAATGCCATATTCTAAACTATTTCCCAAGAAAAAAATTTACCCGCGATACTACTGCATTTTACAGTGAGGCAAAAATCACTAAATATTTTAATTGAATTTGCTCTCTCAAAAAGTTTAATTGTTCTAATTAGAATGAATTGCAAAAACTCATTTTTTTCCAAAAGAAATTTTTTTTTCAAAAATACAGGACTGGATTTTAATGCCACTATTAAATATTAGGAATGCCTTAGAAGAATTGTTTTCCGAAGTGTATTTCAAGACATGAGGGAAGACATTACAGACTATTAAGAAGAAAGGAAATCGTAACAACTTTCAAATGGTATCATCTCAGTTTTATACCTATATTAAGGCATAGTCACAAAACCGTATGCATACTTAATGGTTTATGGTGAAATCACATTGTTTGGTGATTGTTTTAAAATGCCGAATGGAACACAGGGGCAGAAAAAACCGGAAGGAGAGATGAAACAGAACCATCCAAACGTGGTCTGTGGGGAGCCGGATGGTGGGCACTGTGTGTACTATGGCATTCTCCATACACTTACAGAAGCTTGAAGTGTTAACAATAAATAGTATGCTACCTTCCAAACCAAACTCTGGAAGACTATATGCAAAATGCTAATCGTGAGTATTTCCTGGTGTCACGAGGTGGTATGGTCATTGAAGTCTTCATGTTCTTCATGCTATTTTGTACTCCCTAAAGTTTCTACAGTGAACACGTATGTATAGTCCGAAGAAATGCCAATACATCTCCATGTGTTCACTGTCTCTGCAGACCCTTGCTGAACCTGCTACCGGCTGGCACTGGTGGGGCTGGGGCTGGGGGGCCGGACTGTGGCGGGGCGGGCGGGGTTCTCACAGGGAACTCCCCGCCTTCCTGCAGCTGAAGTTCCTCCCACCCACGAGGGAGAGGCCTGAAGCAGGAGGGAGCCTGAAGTGCCCACCAATTTAATACACATTCCAGGGTGGGTAATGGTTAGGATTTAAAGGCGAAGAACCAAAGGCTCAGCCTGGCGTCCACACTTAGAAACAGGGGTCCCCACTGGACAGCCTCCCAGAATGAGCCCAGAGTCTGTGGTCTCTGCGGGGCTCAGCAAATGCTGAGGAGCGTGGATAGTACCGCGATGTGCCTGCTGTTCCCGGATCGCGGGGCTGAGGAGGGACGGGACAGCGACCCATCTGTGACTGCGCCGCGGCCAGCCCCTCGGGAGGTGGCAACCCCCGCCCCCCGCCAGAAACTGGCATCCCCTCTGCAAATGGTCTAGAAAGGGGGTGCATGACTGATTTGGTCATCATTGCAAAGATGTTCAAGAGGATACTCACCTACAGAGGCACCACAGGACAAACCCAAGTCCACAGTAAGGGTCCAAGCAGATGGCCACTTCTCGAGAGGGGTAGAGCTCACACTGCAGCTTAATGGAACGGCAGAAGGCACTGGTGGCTGCATGAGACATCTGTAAGACAGCAAGGCCACCCTCAGGCCACACAGCCTGGCCTCCGGCACCCCAAAGGGACTGCAGGAAGCGGGCAACTGGGCTACGGTTCCTGTCAGTGCTCCCATTTTCAACGACTAAACCACACGCAGCACGTTCCCGCAGCTGAAGTAACCATGTCCTGCAATGCCACCGCACTGTGAAGAAGGTGAGGACCCCCCAGGGCTCGGGGCCCCTCGCCGGGTCGGGACTGCATCTGACCTCCACGTGCCTGTCACGCGATAGGGCCAGTGGGGCACGGTGGACGGACATCCCGTGTCAGTGATCAGGAAACCAGGCTCAGAGAAGGCGGCTGGCTGACAGTCACGTGCCCCAGCAACCCCGCTCCCTGCACGACCAAGGTGACAGAAGGGGGGCGCCCACAGCCAGAGTCTAACGTGAGTGACTGTAAAATACTGTAAAACGTGTCTAATAAAAATCAGTTTTCTCACAGAAGCTCTCTAGCCAAGCCAACCTGAGAGGGGAAGGAAAACTTTTCCGAGTTCATGGTTTTAAACATGTCTTCAGTGCACCTGAAGCCGATGTCCCCTAGAGCTGAACTGTGGGAGGGGCGGGAGCGAGCACCCTCACACGCAGGCAAACCCCGCCAAATGTTTGGGAAAAGCACCGTTAGCCACCCCAGCAACAGAGGAGAGAAGCCGGGAGTGGGGGACACTTGTGTCGTGAACGTGGGAGCACTGTTAGACGCTCTGGCTGGCAGGTTTCACTGTGGGTACTTCACGGAATTCACAAAAGGTAATACAGACTTACCCCAGAATCTAACACACAAGTGGTTCCTTTTAGCTTGCTGTTAAAGCCACAATATTTGCTTAAAGAAGAAACAATGCTGGATTTATGAAACATTCCTTCAACCTCCTACCTGCTGGATGGGGAGTTAGTAAAATCCTAAATTACCAACATTCTCACTAAAATGAACCCTTCCTGAACCCCTAGCTTTGTGCAGGTACTGTTTGGAGCAAGAGCAGAGTTCTTCAGCTCAGCTCAGCAAATATTCATTATATTAATTGAGGACATGCTATGTATCAGGCTTTGTATTAGGTGCTCTGGAAATAAAAAAGAATAAAACACAGCCTCAAACCCCAGGAGCTTGTGAGCCAGTGGGAAATTGAGAGAGAACTCTGTTAACTGCGGGGCCCGTGAGCATTTTGACAACATATATGGTGAGCAGAGAATGGGTTCTCCCATCGCCCTGGGGCTCATAGAGGGCTCTGGGTCTTGAGGGCGAGTAAGCATGAACAGATCTCATCAAAGTGACAAGAACAGAGACAGATTAAGAAAAAAGCAACCAGGAAAGCTGAACATCTCATGTCCAAGCTCACAGCAATCTTGGACCCTATCAACATCACAGACCCATAGCCCAAGTTGGAAGAAAAATGCCCAATTCTTATGAAGACAGACTTATATCTGGATAAGGAATTAGTTTTCCATAAGCCCCAAACAACAAGCTCTCATGCTCTACTCTGAAAGAGACACTGAGAGCAGACGTCAGCTGGAGGACTCAGGGATGAGGGCACCTGTATTTATTTTTAGGGTGCATCTTAGGACTTCTCTTGGGAAGGGTTACTTTCGAGTGCAGTATGACTTTGGCTGATGAACTAAGTGTCCATGGTTTGGGCAAACATCAGCGGCACACCCCACCTGAGAGTGAGCACCCTCGGTGGAAGGGAGAGCCACCACGGTTCTAAAACATCCTGTGTAGAGGCCCAGAGGGCAACTGACCTGAAGGAAACAGCAGATGCTGTATGGGTCCCCCCACATGACGTCCTCGTGGACATCGAACAAATGTGTATCCAGGAGCTACCAGGAACTGTCAGAGTTCAAATTACACTTTTGAAGAGTTAGTATTATAAAACTTAAATTGAACATAAAACACATACTCATGGGTCTTACACTAAATCAGACATTATACAGTGCCCATTATGGAGAAAAACGGTTTACTGGGTAAACTTCTTTCTCTCAACTTTTGGTATTTCACTGAAGGCTTAATGACATTTTTGTCCAAAAGCTGAAAGTGTATTAACATTTCCAAAAAACATGGTGACAAGTGCAAGCAAAGAGGTAGAAGGAATTTCCATCAGGACAGACTATAAACCAGATGATTTCAGCTCAGTTTGTTCCTCTCAGTACTTAAGGCATATGGGTTTTCATTAAATGACATCACAGTAGGTTTCATCTCAGGTACTCGTCAAACAAATTAAATGTCAGAAGTTTAATAAAAACTTCCATAAATTTGAGGGGCGCGTGGGTGGCTCAGTCGGTTAAGCAGCTGACTCTTGGTTTCGGGTCAGGCTGTGATCTCAGGGTCATGAGATCGAGCCCCACGTAGGGACCCAGGCTCAGCACAGAGTCTGCTTGAGATTCTTTCTCTCCCTCTACCCTTCCCCCCCGCCTTGCATGCACTCTTTCGCTCTCTAAAATAAATAAATCTTTAAAAAAGAAAGCTTTCATAAGTTTGAGAGAAAGTCTAGTTACTCCTCTCTCTGGGATTCCTAGGGTTTATACTTATATTAAGTGGAATCACCATGAAGTAATAGCATAGATCGCTTTATCTCTGTTTCAAGCAGAAGTATCTTTATCGAATCAAGATGTCACATTATAGCCTCCACCTCTGTAGAAAACGGAAGGATCCAAGTGTGTGTTTCCCTTCAGCTATGACCAGAGGCGACTCAAGGCCACCTTCAGCACTGTGGCAAGTCAGTTATCCTGGTCTGAAAAGAAATCTGTACTCCAAAAGGCTTTTGAAGGGGCACCTGGGTGGCACAGTCGGTTAAGTGACAGACTCTTGATTTCGGCTCAGGTCATGATCTCAGGGTCATGAGATCAAGCCCCAGGCTGAGCTCTGCTCAGTGTGGAGCCTCCTTGAGATTGTCTCTCCCCCCTCCCTGCTGATGCATGCTCTCTCTCTCTCTCTCAAACAAGTAAGTCTTCAAAAGGCTTTTGAAGAATTATTTTATTTTATATTCCACTTTATTTGGTGGATCAGATTCTACTGAAAAGCAAAGGAGAGGATTCTGGGAAGACGGTCTCCATAGCAACCAGACAACAATTATGTGGGCAGAAAATGATGCAACTATTTGGAGCTCTGGAGTTTGTTAAGGTTTTTAACTTCCAGAGGAAGGCTTGGGCAATGGCAATTAATTTTGGAAAAATTAAGACATTCCCATTGAAGAAAAAGTTGTGGGCACTCCTGACATTTAGATCTGCCATGAAAGGCTCAAGGGAGTCCTATAGGTTGAAACAGAAAGACACCAGATGCAACTTGAAGTCACTGAATAAATTGAGATCTCAGTAAAGGTAAATACAAGGCAATTATAAAAGCTAGTGTAATCCTGGGGCACTTGGGTAGCTCAGCTGGGTAAGCCTCTGACTCCTGATTTCAGCTCAGGTCATGATCTCAGGGTCGTAAGACTGAGCCCTGTGTTGGGCTCCACGCTGAGCAGGGAGTCAGCCTGAGATTCTCTCCCTCTGCCCCTTCCCTCACTTGCTCTCTCTCCCCCCACTTCTAAAATAAATAAGTCTTGAAAAAGCTAGTATAATCACAGCAATACTTTATAACTCTACCCTTCATTTTTTACGTGATTTAAGAGAATAATACAGTAAAACAAAACAATTATCAGTCGAAAAACTGTTACCGTAACTTTGGGTTTAAATTCCACTTTTTTTCCCTACATAACTTAAGAGACCAATGCATTTAAAAGAATTATTACTACATATTTTGGGCCCCACAGTGTATAAAGATATAACTTTGTGAATCAGCAACTGAGAGAGGTAGAGATGGAGCAGTTTTTGATGTCCCTGAAATTAAGTAGGGATAATCCAAACTGGAGAATTACAACTGTAGGCTGTCCAACCCAATCCCCATGGTCACCTCAAAGACAAAACCTGCAGAATATATATGAAAGGAAATTGAATGTTTCAGTACAAAAAGTCAACTAAGCACAAAACAAGATAGTAATGCAGGAAATGAGTAACAGAAAGGTTGTAAGACATATAGAAAATAATGAGCAAGATGACAGAAGTCCCTTCTTACCAGTAATTAGTGTAATGTAAACAGATTAAATCTCCAAAGACAGAAATTGGCAGAGTGAATAAAATACATAAAATACCACATGGTGCCTACAAGAGACTCATTTTATCTATTTTTTATTTATTTTTTAAAAAGATTTATTTATTTGAGAGAGAGAGTGAGAGAGCAAGAGAGAGCAAGCATGCAGAGGTGGGGGGCAAGGGGAGAGGGAGACAGAAACTCCAAGCCGACTTTGTGTTCTGTGTGGAGCCTGATGCGGGGCTTGATCTCATGACCCTGAGACCACGACCCCAGTCAAAACAGAGTTGGATCCCCAGCCAACTGTGCCACCCAGGCACCCCCAAGAGATTCATTTTCGATCAAAAGACACAAGTAATTTGAAAGAGAAAGAATGGATAAAGACATTCCATGCAAACAGTAACCAAAAGAGAGCAGAAGTAGTTAAACTAATATCAGACATACAGACTTCCAGAAAGGTTGTAAGAGACAGAGAGGGGCATTACCTATTAACAAAGGGTTCGGTGCAGCAAGAAGATTTAACAATTATAAACAACTACACACCCGACAACAGTCAAAACAGATGAATCAAAAATGGACAAAACTAAAAGGAGAAATTGACGTTTCTTCAGTGACAGAGACTTCAATACCCTACTCTCGATAATAGTTAGAACAACAAAAAGAAGACACGTTAAAAAAAAAAAAAAAAGAGGGGTGCCTGAGTGGTGCAGTCATTAAGCGTCTGCCTTCGGCTCAGGTCATGATCCCAGGGTCCTGGGATCGAGCCTGGCATCGGGCTCCCTGCTCCGTGGGAGGCCTGCTTCTCCCTCTCCCACTCCCCCTGCTTGTGTTCCCTCTCTCGCTGTGTCTCTCTGTCAAATAAATAAATAAAAATCTTAAAAAAAAAAAAGAAAATAGGAGACTGAACCCAATAAACCAAAGAGATCTGAGGGACAGGGAGAACACTCAACCACAATGGAATACACACTCTTCTCAAGAGCACTTGGGTCATATTCCAGGATAGACCATATTTTAGGCCGCAAATTAAGTCTCAATAGATTTAAAAAGATAGATACCATATGCGGTATCTTCTCCAACCACAACAGGATGAAATTAGGAATTAGTAACAGAAGGAAAACTGGAAAACCCAAACAGAAGGAAAACTGGAAAACCCACAATTAAAAAAAATGTACTCTTAAATAACCACAAGGAAAATCATAAAATACTTAGACACAAATGCAAATAAAAATACAACATACCAAAGCTTACAGGACACAGCAAAATCAATGTTAATGCAGAAATTTATATAAACAGGTTAAAAACAAGACAGATCTCATGTCAACAACCTAACTTCACAACTTAAGGAATGAGAGACAAAAGAACAGATGAAACCCAAAGCTAGCAACAGGAAGGAAATAAAGATTAGAACGAAGGTAAGCAAATAGAGAGTGGAGAAGTAGTAATCAATGAAAGCAAAAGTTGGTTCTTTGAAATAATCAACAAAACACACAAACCTTTAGCTAGATGGACTAAGAAAAAAGGAAGGAACACTCAAATTACTAAAATCTGAAATGAAAGTTGGGACATTTACTATAGATTCTACAGAAATAAAATTAATTATGAGAGTACTATGAACAACTGTACACCAACACACTGCACAACCTATATGAAATGGAGAAATTACATTTCATGGAAACTGAAACACAAATTATCAAGAAGGAACACAAAACTTACAAAGACTAAATCACGAAGAATAAAAAGTCTGAATAAACTTACAAACAGTAAGATCAAATCAGTAAAGAAGATTTCCCAACAAAGAAAAGCCCTACACCTGATGACTTCACTGCTAAAATGAACCAAACATTTAAAGATGAACTAATACCAGGGCACCTGGGTGGCTCAGACGGTTGAGCATCTGACTCTTGATTTCAGCTCAGGTCATGATCTCAGGGTTCTGAGATCGAGCCCTGAGTCAGGCTCCATCCTCAGTGGGGAGACTGCTTGGGATTCTCTTTCTCCCTCTTCCTTTGCCCTTCCCCCCAATATGCACACATACGCTCTCTCTAAAATAAATAAATTTTTTTTTTTTAAAAAGAACCAATACCAGTCCTTCTCAAACTTTTCCAAAAAACTGAAAAGAAAGGAACACTTCTTAACTCATTCTTTGAGGTCAGCATAACCCTGATACCAAAGCCAAAGACACTATAAAAACAGAGGTCTACAGACAAATATCCCTGCTGAACACTGATGCAAAAATCCTCAACAAAGTACTAACCCAATTTGGTAGCATATTAAAAGGCTTATATGTCAGTGGGATTTATTCCTGGAAGGCAATGTTGGCTCTACATATGAAAAATCAATCAGTAGGGGCACCTGGCTGGCTCAGTTGGAGAAGCATATGACTCCTGGTCTCAGGGTTGTGAGTTTGAGCCCCATATTGGGTGTAAAGATTACTTAAAAATAAAATCTTTTAAAAAATCAATCAATATATCACATTAAAAGAATGAAGGGAAAAAACCCGTATGACATCTCAATTGATGTAAAAAAAAAAAAAAAGCATCTGATAAAATTCAACAACCTTTTATAATAAAAACACTCAATAGACTAGGAATAGAAAAAAAGGGCCTCAACATAATAAAAGCCATATATGAAGAACACAGAGAACGTCATACTCAGTCATGAAAAACTCAAAGCTTTACCTCTACAATCAGGAACAAGGCACCCTTTCTAGTCAACATAGTACTAGAAGTTCTAGCCCAAGCAATTAGGTAAGAAAAATAAATACAAAGCATACAGATTGGAAAGATAGAAGTAAAATAATCTCTGTTCACAGATAAAATGAACGTATATATAGAAAACACTATTTCACACAAAAATTATTAAAAATCATAAATTCAGCAAAGTAGCAGGATAAGAAGGCAGCAAGCAAAAATCACTTGCATTTCTATACATTAAATGAAAAATCTGAAGAGGAAATTAAAACAAGTCTATTTATAATAGCATCAAAGCATAAAATGCTTAGGAATCAGGAAGACTTGTACAATGAAAACTACAAAATATTGCCAAAGAAATTGAAGACATAAATAGGAACATATACCATATTCATAGACATCAATACTACCCTAATACAGACTCAATGCAGTCTCTGGGTGTTATTAGCAACTAATGAATCATTGAACATTATACTAAAAACTAATGATGTACTATATATTGGCTAATTGAATTTAAATAAAAAAATTTCAATGGTATTTTTTGTAGAAGTAGAAAATGCATCAAAAACTTCAAACAGAATCTCAAGAAAATCTGAAAAGCCAAAACAATCTTGAAAAGAAATAGAGGACTCACACTTCCTGATTTACTACAAATATACAGTAGTCAAAACAGTGCAGTACTGGCATAAAAACAGATGCATAGATTAATAGAAGAAAATACAGAGCCTGGAACAAAAAAAAATCCTTGCATTTATGGCCAACTGATTTTTGACAAGGGTGCCAAGACCATTCAATGAGGGAAAAGACAGTCTTCTCAACAAATGGTGCTGAGAAAATTGGGTCTCTGCATGCAAAAGAATGAGGTTGGACCTTTACCTAAAACCACAGAGAAAAATTAACAATTGGGTCAAAGACAGAAATGTAAGACCTAAGATAATACAATTCTTGGAAGAAAACACAATATAAAGCTTTATGACACCGTAGTTAGGCAATGATTTCTTGGATGTGACCAAAGGCACAGGCCAAAAAAAAAAAAGGACAAAATTGGACTGTATGAAAATTTAAAAATTTTGTGCATCAAAGGACACTATCCACAGAGTAAGAAGGCAATCCACAGAACAGGAGAAAATTCAGGGTTTAATATCCAGAATATGCAGAGAATTTGTAAGACTCAACAACAACAACAACAACAACAACAAAAACAAGCAACTTGATTCAAAGGACTTGGATAGATATTTCTCCAAAGAAGATGTACAAATGGCCATTAATTGCATGAAAAAATGCTTAACATCACTAATCATTAGGAAAGTGCAAATCAAAAAACCACAATGAGATACCACTGCACACTCATTAGAATGGCTACTATTAACAACAACAAAAAAACTAGACAACTCTGAGAGTTGACAAGGATGAGGGGCAGATGAAATGTGCACAACCATGGAAAACAGCATGGCGATTCCCTCTCGGGATTAAAATGGAACGGCCATTACGACCCCAAATTCCACTTCTTGGCACATACCCAGAAGATGTGAAAGCACTGTGTTAAGAGAGGCTTGCACATCTCTGTTCACAGCTGCATTGCTTACAAGAGCTAACCCTTGGAAGCAGCCCTACTGTTCGCTGACAGATGAATGCAAAGGCCAAACGTCAATGGAATGTTAACTTAGCCTTAAAAAGGAATTCTGAGCCCCTCAGCAACATGGATGAACCCCGGGACAGTACGGTACGTTTAATGAGCCAATTACAAAAGGACAGCACTGCAGGACTCCATCTCTATGGGGTCCCCAGAATTGTCAAAATCCCAGAGACAGAAGGGAGATAGTGGGTGCTGGTGGAGGGGATGGGGGCCCTTGATTAATAGGTAGTGAGTTTCAGTTTCACAAGACGCGGTGAGTTATGGGGGTGGATGGTAGGGATGGCTCCACAACAGTGTGCGTGTTTTTAATGCTCCTGAACCGTATACTTAGGTCGGTTATTAAGGTGAATTTATGTTAAGTGTATTTAACAATTAAAAAAATTGAAAAAAAAAAAGTAGAGAAAGAGAACTGAGGTAAATGACATAAACAGAGGGGTCAGATCCCGAAGGCGGGCCAAGGGCTTCTTGAGGCTACAGAGGATGTAGCAGTCCCTTGACAGGGACAATGCCCGAGCCCTGAGGGTCCTCACGAGCTGAAGCACACAGCATGGCGCACCCCTGAACGACACAGGATCGTGGGCGCCAGCCCCCTTGTACACTGGTTTTTTATAGGGCAGGACTGTAAATGTTTCTTCTCTCCCTCGTGACTTTCTCAACAGGATTTTCTTTTCTCCAGCTTACTTTACTGTGAGAATACAGTATGTAATACACAGAACACACAAAATAGGTGTTAATGGACCGTCTATGTCACTGGTAAGATTTCCAGGAGGCTGTGAGTAGCTAAGTTTTGGGGGACTCAAAAGTCATATGCAGATTTTCGCCTGCACAGGGGTGGGGTTGCTCCTAACCGCCCCCCCCAAGTTGTTCAAGGGTCAACTGCAGCTCCATTCTTTGGCAGAAACAAGGGTCAGTGGTCAGCCAGCCAGGATGGAACCCAAGCTAAAAAGGGAAGAAACCCCAGTGCACCGAGTTTTATAACAGAGCACTGGGATTTGAGAACCAGCAAGGAAGAAAGACATGCAACTCTTTACTAGGGGCTAATGAGGCTGTGTTTACATACAAAAAAACAGTTGGACTGTGTGGAAAGAATCGGCCAGCCTAGGTCACCATGGAAATGGTCACGCATCTTAGAGTCTCAGGAAGGGCAGGGACGCAGCCCTCCCACGTGCCCCTTCAAGTGCCTGCTAGAGTCCCGCTCTACAGAAGAATGTCAAGGGACAGCCCCACGTGGCTCGTAACCACACACCGTGCAGACCATGTTTCTCACCTTCACTCCAGCAAGCATCCCGGTCGTGGACACGCTGAAGTCGAGATAAGCTAGCATGTCTGGGTTGGAAGGTTTGTAGATCTGGGCGGGCCGCTTCTTTGGCAAATCATCTGTAGCAAAATAAAGCCGTTAGCGTACCTGACCCAGTGGGAAAGCAGAGGCACACAAGAACGTCTCTGGCGGGTTCGAGGACTGACCTGTGTCCAGGATGGGGGGCCATGCCCTGACGTCTACGGCCGCAGCTGCCTCCCTGGACCGTAACAACTTACAGATGAGCTGTGTTGTCATCAAGCAGGCAGAGCGACTCACCTGCCGGTCAGAGAACATGCCGCTCACTACGCACCCCGAGGCCATGGGCCCTCACAGCCCGCGGAGCCAGTGTTGGCCGCCGGAGGCAGGACAGAGCCAGGAACTGACCACAGCACACACAGCTCACAGACACTGTGGTCCCTGGCATTTCTGGAGCTAAGGGACACCCATGACACACATGCTCAGAATGGAGCACCCCAACCACCGCGCTCACAGTTAGCTCTGTCCTATAAAAGCCGCCCTGTGTACCCACTTACACGATCACTACCTCCTAAAGGGAGTAATGGCCTCAGCCGTCTTCCAACATCACCACTGAAAGAATTTGCATGTGCTGTCCCCAGACTAAGCTGTCCCTCCTCCAAGGGGAAAAACTTCTCCTAATCCTTCTAAACTTCCCCAAGCATAAGAACGATTAAAATAAATCTGTGCTTGCAAAAAGGAATGGGACATTTCTAAACCTTGAGCAAAGAAATTAAAAAAAAAAATAAGACTTTTGGGGCACCTGGCCGGCTCAGTGAGAGGAGCGTGTGACTCTTGATCTTGGGGTCATGAGTTTGAGCCCCACATTGGGTGTAGAGATTATTTAAATAAATAAATGCTAAAAACATTACATGACTTTTTCATCAGTCTGGTGCAGAAGCTCCCGCTGTCTGTCCAGGTGCCGTGGGCGAGGAGCTACTTTCTCCAGGGCTCCTCCATCCCCATGCACCCACAATGCCATCCCCAGCCCACATAGGAGCTGAAACCCTACTTCCAGAACTGGAGGCTAGAGGCCGCACCTGCCCCACCGGCCCAGAGCCAGTCCTGGCCTGGGCCCTGGGATCTAGGAGCCCTGGCACTCCCAGGCAGGGTTACCTCCACGATCATCTTCACGGTCGGCAGCGTCGTTGCGATGTTCTGTGGGTGTGGAGGGCGGACGGTTATTGGCACACAGCCCGCATACAGGCAGCCGTAAAACGCCGCGATGAGGTCTATTCCTAGATGGGAGAGGAGCAAAGTTCTCAGTCGACACAGTCAATGCCCATCAGCAGAGGTTCTAGCCTGGGCATGAGACCGCTGCCGATCGTCCTCCGCCCGTGAGCTTTGTTAGGCTTCGGCCGTAACTTCCTGTTGGCCTGTTCCTTCAAGTACGAGGTGCCAAAGCAGCCCACAAGTTTAATTTCTGTCACTTCTCTACACAATTACTCAACTCTACGATTATCAGTTTAGTGAAGGGTTTAACGACTATCGATTTGATGAGCTACCTCAATACGTAAAGAAACAGATACAGATGTCTGCGAAATTTCGTCTTATTTATGCCCTCGAGTTACACAGCACACACCACCGTCCCCACAAGAGGCTGTAAGCAGCTGCAGCGAGCAACACAGAATGCAGGGCCAGTGGTCAGCCGGTGCCCGTCCCGCCAGCTCTGGAGCTGGCCCCGTCCTTCACCTGGCGGGTAGACGAGAGCCACGTGGTCCCCGTCCTGCAGGTGTCCTCTCTCCATGAGCATCACGGCGATCTTCTCGGCACGTTTATGCAGCTGCACGCACGTTAGCGAGCTCGCTATCGTACCCTGGGAATTGCAAGGACAAGTGGGTGAGATGTTTTTGAACAGAACAGCTTTATCGAGACGCCTGCAGGTACCAGCCAGTTCCCTTATTGGAAATGCACTTATGTGGATGTTAGTACATCTGCACACCTGTCAGTTTTAGCACACTGGCCACCCCCCTCTCCCCCCACTGGCCAAGAAGGGCAGCACCGAAGAGGCATCTAGATCCACTGTGTTAACAAGAAATATTTTATTTTTTAAAAGACTTTATTTGTCAGAGACAGAGAGAGAAAACACAAGCAGGGGGAGCGGCAGAGGGAGACACCAACTCTTCACTGAGCAGGGAGCCCCATGTTGGACTCGATCCCAGGACCCTGAGATCATGACCTGAGCCGAAGGCAGATGCTTCACCGACTGAGCCACCCAGGTGCTCCAACAAGAAATATTCTAAAAAATAATTACTTGGGGCACGTGGGTGACTAAGTTGGTGAAGTGTCTGACTCTTGATTTTGGCTCAAGTCATGATCTCAGGGTTGTGGGGTTGAGCCCCACGCCAGGCATGGAGTCTGCCTGAGATTCTCTCTCCCTCTGCCCCTCCCCCCACTCACATGCTCTCTCTCTCTCAAATAAAATCTTTAAAAAAAAATAATTACTTGACCTAAAAAATAGCTCAACTTACAAAAAAAGTCAACCTGGTAATTCTGGGACTTCAGTGTAATCGCCAAGGGCAGTAAGACTCAGTGCGGAACGAACAGGAAAATTACACAAATTGAAAATATTTTTAAGAAACACCACATCAGAAGTCAAAGAGGTCTAAAAACAAACAGAACAAAGCTACAGTAAAAACAAACAAACAAACAGTAAAGGGAAAAATGAACTGTCATATTCATTTTATGTAGACTTTCTAAACATGAAGAAACAAATGGAAAACATATTTAGATAAAAAAAATACCTCAAAGGCACTATTGTAACTTCCTGAGGATCTACAGTTATTTCAAAATCAAGAGTTGAAGAAAATGAAAAAAAAAAAACATTGCTGTTCACGATCAAACCCTATTTTAAAGTGATTCTCAGGGTGAAGGGCCTTCCTGCAGTCACGGGCACGGCGGCCCACAGCGTCCACGTACTGAACATGGCCCCGGCATCGTGACCACGCCGTTGGCTCTGGCAGAGCGAGCCAGCGGTCCAGCGGCAGCAGGAAGAACAGCGAGACACCGTGATTTTCGGGGACTGGATGCAAACGTCAAGGGTGGAGAATCAAGTCTCAAGGGAAGAGCGGTGAGCACACTCGTGTGGAAGGAGGGTAACGCTGAGCGGACAGAAGCGACCAGACCTTGGGGTCCCTTACAGATGGGCAGTGGAGCTCTGGTGATGGGAGATCCTGGGGACACGGTAGAATTCCTGTTAACATGGCCCGTGTGTTAGAAACACCTGCTCTGGGTGGGGGGTGGGACCTTTTACCATCAGGACACAATCACCAGCGCTCCGTGTTTGCCAAAATCATCCACGAGCTAACGGACTATTGTGTCGAGCTCCAGGAAACAACACACTCCCCTCCCCGATGTATGAGCAGCGCCCGGGGCCGCAGGGGGCTGCCCGCAGGCTCCGGCCCTTTCCCACCAACCAGGACTGGCCTCTCCTACAGGGCACAGGGTCCGCTTACGCTTCTCTGAAGTGAATCCTCTTGTCACACACATCTCCCTTCACTGTCTCTCTTCTGAGGATGGTTAAAATATGAGGCAGTAGAAGAGCCACGGCAGAGTGCAGCAAAGCTGGGTAAACAGAGACCCAGGAGACTGGAGCCCAGGGCCTCCAACACTGGACACTCCCTGAGCGTCCACTCCTGGGGACCACACCTGTTCGCCGGAACCAAAATGAACGCACTCCTTGACCCAAATGTCCTTTGAGAAGTTCAAAGTGAAGATGGGCACAGCTGATGGGGGGGCCCAGGACCAGCTCCCTCCCTGTGCTGGTGGGGACCACCCCACCCCTCCCATCCTGGGGGACAGCCAGCACCCCCTCCTGACCGTCAGACAGGGACAGGCGGGTGGTGGTGCGCCAGTGGACAGTGCTGGTAGAAGGGGCTCACCCTTATGTCCCTGAGGAGCTAGACCCTGCTGTTCTGTCACTGCCCTCCGGCCGCTGGTGCACCTGTCTTATCTCAGCCGGCAAGCGCTCCTGCTCTGGGCGGTTCCACTTCTGGATCTGACCTTCCCTCCAGTTTCGGGAGATCCGATACCCATCCCCCATCAATGACCAGCTTCTCCGTCAGCTCAGAACCAGCAGGCATGAGTGTGTCTGAAAAGATGTGTTGGCCCTGGGGTGTGAAATTCCCACTGATACACTTTAGAAAAGGTGAAATGTAATTGGTACGCTGCCCTTTATCTTTAGTGACCTCTGAAATGGTTCACAATGCCGCTCGAGGCTTTTTAGCAGGAAAGCCTCCGCTGCACAGCAGGCCTTGAGGGCTCATCCGGTTCTGGAGTCAGCGACCGGGTGCCTGGACACCGAAGCTGTCCCCGAGCCACCTGGAGGGGCTGTGCTGGGACGGGGAGCGCCGGTCTACCGGCAGCCATGCCTGGCCCCAGACTCCCCTGTGGGAACTCCTGCACAACCTCCTGCTCTAGAGAAACACCACTGGTGGGGGCTCTGAACAATGAGGGGCCACAGATGCGCATCCCACAAAATGGCAGCCTGTGATCCTTGGCCAACGACTGCCTGGCCCCCCCATCGACATCCACAGGAAACGATGAGGTTTCCATAAAGAGAAGAGAGACTAGTATAAACCACCTCACCAGAGAAATCAGGGCTGACTTCTAAAGGAAGTTTTGGGTGGAATCATGACAGGACCAACCCCTGTCCTGAGTCAACAAATTTCAGGGCCAAGGACTGTGAATTTGGGCACCATTTTGAAGTTTGACATGAAATTAAATAATAAATGAAAAAACACTAGGAATTAAGAAAAAGCCAAATAAGATTTATATTTTAAAATTCTAGGGGCGCCTGGGTGGCTCAGTTGTTAAGCATCTGCCTTCGGCTCAGGTCATGATCCCAGGGTCCTGGGATCGAGCCCCGCATCGGGCTCCCTGCTCCGCGGGAAGCCTGCTTCTCCCTCTCCCACTCCCCCTGCTTGTGTTCCCTCTCTTGCTGTGTCTCTCTCTGTCAAATAAATAAAATCTTTAAAGAAATGAAAAACAATTCTAAAGAAGTTGCTACAAGTAAAAAAAAAAAAAGGTTAAAAAACTTGGCTGATGTTTCTGTTAAAAAAAAATAACACTTTTGTTATTTAGGAACTTTTGTATGGAAACAAGTTCCAACTCGTAGCTTTCCATGACCTGCAATGAATTAGAGCCCCACTTCCTACTGTACGTCTGACAGAACTCCTACCCCACCGACCGCACTGGCATACGCGCGAATCCCGTCTGCACCAAATGGGAAACTGCTCTCACTCAAGCCTTATCAAGTCGCCAAAGACAACCAACAGCATGCCCCTTGCAGGACGGAGGCCAGCAGGAAAATGCGGGGGGGCCACATGCCGGAGTGACAATATTTTGGATCTATGGAGGTCAGCTAAACATTACTAGCATGAATTTCACCAGTTTCTGTCTTTTAAAAATACTGCTTTTAGAAAACATACAATTATGTGTGTGGCTCGCGCTACCCTTGTAGGGGATAGCGCTGACCTAGGAGGGTGCTTGAAGCAGAAACTATGAATAACAACCAAGAAGATGGCAACTCCGATCCTCAGCCCCCGCCGAGCCCTTGTACGTTCTGGGTGGGGAGGGAGGGGGAGGGGGGGGGGGAGGGGGCGGGCCCCACCCACCCCACCCATCAACTGGCTCCGGACGCAGCCACCTGCACATCCAGAGCTGTGTGCAAAGGAAAACCAGTCGCGCGAAGCACCCTTCTCCATGCTGACCCAAAGTGGATCCACTCACGGGCTCTGACCTCCCCCTTGCCTATCCAATTTCCTGTCGTCTCTAACGAAGCGGGAGTCATTTCCGGTGACTCGTTTTCCCCCAACAATCCAGCGTCTAGCTACAGCAGATGGCCGTGGCCACAGGGTCAGGGATGGGAATACACATCACCCAGGCCAGAGCTGCTCAGAAGGACCCGGGGTCCAGGCATCACGCCAGGGGACCACCTGAGGGCTCTGCTCTCACGCGGGCACTCCCGCAGTTGGGTGTGGTTAGAACAGCGCTCTGTCTTCCTCCCCTGTTGGGACAGGTCCTCTGTGAACACACCTGCATGACCTCTGAGCCTGTGTGTGTGGCAGGGCTGGTCTCCTACTCCTCCGGCTGCCTGCTTATGGCTCCAGGGCATCCAGGCACAGATCCTCACCCTCCCTTCTCAACCCTACTGCAAGGAGGAGAGAATGTGGGGGGACTGCGCTGGGGAGGGTTGGGGGTGATGGACCTGCCTCTTGCTCTCTGGTGGCTTGTCTATAGATGACACCACATCATATCGACCACACCAGCACCACAGCAGCACCTGGGAGGCTAAGCAAAGGGCCTGAGGACTTGAGCAGATGTCCCTCCTGGGGGCAGAAGACCATCGTCTCTCTGGGTCATCACTCTGGAGGGGACACTGGAAATCTCTGCAGGGCCACTGAGAGACCACAGAGGAAGAACAGTCTCCAAGACAAATACGCGGAGGGCAGGGAAAGTCAGAAGAATAGATTACAGGGAAATCAGGATTGCATTGCAGAGCTGAGGACCACCCGCAAGGCAGCGGTGTTGGGAAGGCAGGGGAAAGCGGAGTCTTTTCTGTATTTAGGGGCTGAGAAAGGAGCTAATGGAGGAAAGAGGAGAAAAGCAGGGTAGGCATGTTTCAGGGGCTCAGGCAACTGCTCAGATCCTCAGGAGCCCAGATGCAACACCTCCTACCACCATGCACCTGGGAGCACAGGAGAGTGTGGGTGCAGGGAACAGGTCCCCTCCGTACTGCCAGTTATGTGCTTGGCACTGCCTTTCACTCATCTCTAATCGATTGCTGTAAATGGTAAGAGGCGGCTTTGCACAGTAAGATTTTGATATTTTACAACTCTAAATAGTCACAACTTCCTACAGTCGCACATACCCACACTTGTCGGGAAGACCTAAGGTTAAAATCTACTTGTCAGGCTTTATTTCCACAGCAAAAGAAAAGTTAAGCATGTTAAGACTTTTGCATTTGATGTTTATTGTTAATACTACTTGTGTGCATATTTAAGGTCTCACCCTTAAGCTCCACTGTGGAATGACACTGGATGAACTTGCTTTTCCAGCGTGAAGCGTCAACACAAACCTTCATCACGCTTGTAAAACAGAGATGATTTTCATTCGTAAGAAACTCTATAACGAAAGCCTCACTTCCTATTTACAAAAAAGTAGTTTTCTGATAAAAGTAAAGACAAAAATATCTCATAGGTCTGAACTGTCCCCCGTGTTTTGGGGGAAATATCGCCAAAAGAATTGCTAAAATCATGTGAAAAGGCAACAAATAAATGGGAAGGATGTCACATGACACTGAAGTGAAAGGAACAGAGAGGAAAGAAGAGAAAGCTGCCCGAGGGCGACCATGAGATTCGCGTGCAGTGGTCCTCACCCTACAGTTGAGCAGCGTGTACAGGACGTGGTCGGGGGTGGTCTGTGCCCTCCACTGCAGGACCTCCGAGAGGAACAGGAACTGGAACAAAAGCACAGCCATTAGCTTCAGGCCTTCCGAACAGACCGCGTTCATGCTGACATCCTACCCTCTCAGTGCTGTTAGGGCAGCTCAGAATAGCGCGCTTTCCCACGGAGGAATGAGCACATCCCTGTCAAACAAAATTGGGAGACTAAGCCAGTGCTTACGGGGTTTTTCCTGGATGACCTGGAACTCCCTGCGCCCAACTTGGGACGCACCAGTTACAGGGAGGTGGTGCAGTGCCTGGTCAGGGATGTCTCCCACCATCTGCCCAGGCTGGGAGAATGGCATTCCCCTTACAGACGGAGCAGCCAACACAGAAAAGCCCTTCTCCTGGGCTCCCAGAAGAGGGGGCTTTCTGGGGCTGGAATGGCAGAATCAGATCGACCCTGTACTTAAACCGGACTCTCTTCTATTTGCTGTTTTCAGAAGGGTCATTCCCTGAGGTCATTCCACAGCATTGCCAAGCACACAGATCATGTGCATCGCATGGACTCGGTTGATAGCGAAAAAGAGGTCAGCGCCATCTTATGTCTGGTCATAGGAAACACACAGGTATATCCCTCAATCTATTTTATTAATAGAAATGTACTCTGAGGTGGGACCATGGTGATCCAGTGCTTTCAATGTATGCAATTCTACTTGTTACCAAAGTGGCAATATTTTAAACGGTTGATTTTGTGACATTTCCTGGTGGCTAGCACAGACTGGGGTCATCATTTGGCGACTCATCAGAGTCCTCAAGTCTGAGTGGTTGTAACAGGGAGACAAGCTGAGTGATGTGAACGGTGGGTGTGGCCCCAGATTTCTCCTCCAGCCCCTAAGGATGTGTTGAGGATGCCTGGTTCCCCAACGTGGGTTTTGAATTTATGTTTTCTTGTGTCCCAACAATTACAAGACTGAAGCCTTGCACCCAGGTTGCCGTGCGGCCGTCTGGGCATGAAATCAGGGCTGGTAGGAAGAGGAGAAACAAGAACCACAGAACGCCAGGACGAGACAGGCATCCCCAGACGCTGGCCCCAGGCCTTGGCTCGGGTGTCTGTGCACCCTCAACAGACACATCTTCCTTGTGAGATGATACGGTACGTCTGTTGGACCAAGAGGCCAATGGTACACAGGGGACCGGCAGCCGGTGATGCAGCAGCCTGTGGGCATGGGGCTTGGACAGCAGCCCGGCCTCACGCTCACCTTGCGGGCCTGGTCGTTGTCTTCGATCTGGCCCAGGTCTCTGCCACTGGCCTGCGCGATCCTCTTCCCAGACACCAGGTTCCCCACCATCACAGAGGCAGGGCCGATTTCTGGAAAGAACATGAGGAAACAGGTGAACTGACAACAGGACCTCCCACCGTGGCGCAGCGGTCGCCCTGGGGAAACCCTTCCAAAGGCCAGGCTCTGAGAAAGTCTTATCAGAACAGGGTTTCCAAGGTGTCCCAACATGAGAACGATGGCAAACCTGAACAGGTCTCAATTACAGGTTAGAAACAAATCTCGCTGCCACTATTCTCCAGTTGGAGTGATGCTGGGCTCTATCCACGTTCGTATCTGCGGGAAGTAACTCGGAAGACAGACAAGGATTAACACAGACGTGCCTCACTGCCGAGCACGTGTGCTGCTGCCCGGGGTTGCAGTGGAGGCCGTCCAAGTGGCCTCAGACACAAAGTACTGCTTGGGTTTTATAAATACATCCTGTCACGTGGGGAGGAGCACCACAGAAGGCTCAGACACGGCCACTGGGCGTCTCACGGACGGCATGCTCTGGGCTCTCGGCTGGGCCCACAGAGAGGCAGACGACGGAGCCAAGAGGCTCCCATTCCAAGTTCCTTGTACACCGTCACGGACTCGGTTACCACGCTCTTTTCCCAGGAGAAAGGCATATAGAATCTACTCTGATAACTTTCTTTTCTTTTTCAATGAAAGAAACAAGTTTCTTAAAGAACTGCAGAGACTCTTTCAAGATTTCTAACTACAAGGAACCCTAGGGACCCTCTAGGCTTCACTGTGTTGTCACCACACACACACACACGGATTGAAGAGGGCAGGGTTCACCGTTCTGGGAGACCGTGCTGTTGGGGGAGCGGGCCTCTGAGACAGAGGCAAGGAGGGGAGGCAGGGAGGGAGCGTAAAGGCGGCAGTAGAAATAACCAAGATGCCAGGCGCTGCTGAGTAAAATTCTTATTAAACCTTTACCAAAGGTCGACTTACAGGCTTCAAATTGGGGCATTTGGTGCACTGTGTTATTGCACACAAAGAGCTGTCTCTCAGCAGCTCAGAAAGCTTTAGACGTGGGCTGAGGGGTGGGGCCAGCGGCTGCCAGGCCCCCCCGGGCTCCAGCACACCCTGGCAAGATGAGCAGGGGCAGGGCTGACACCCCCAGGGGACTGTCCAGGGGAGCAGGACAGTCCTCTGCACACGTGGCCAACCGGACCTGGGCAGCCATAAACTATGCAACATCACAGCGATGCAGGCGAAGGCTGGGGGCTTCCAGGCAGGGCTGAAATCTGGAGACCAGCCCAGGACGTAGATTTCCAGGCTCCTGCCCACAGGCTTCTTCACGTTAGGCAATCTCTAGGAGCCCTGATACTGGCTTCCGTGTCATCACAGAACGTGCCTTATATACTCTGCTCCATTATGTCTGAATTGCCGTGTGTGAACTTTTTCTCTTAGTGCATAATAAATTCTGGAGGGATAGTGTTTTCCAATCTAACAAAGCGAGAAGAAAACGCAGCAGCGTGGTTCATGTGCACTGAATGTGGCTGCCGTGTGGACAGAGCCAGGGCTCTCCTGGGACCCCGCCAACGAGCCCTTCGTTTCCTGGCTTGGGGTCTGTGGGTGAAGCGTCCTGAGGTTCTCTTTGGTGACCAAGGTGGACAGGACAGTTCTGGGAAGCCGCTCTGGCCTAAACTGACTTGAAGAATTCTCGGTAATTTTTTAAGAATTCACGTGAGGGCAGAAGCACTCTTCCAAGGTGCTAGCAGGTGGTCCTTCCTTCTTCAATGTTTGTCCCTGCTAGACTCGTCTGGATGTGAAGCTCGGACCTTACATGTCTCTCCCCCACGTGGACTTAAGAATGATCTTTTTCCAAACATTGCTGGGAGACAGGTGCTTTCCTGTGGCATTGTTTACAAAATCTGTCCCCCTACCAAGAACCGAGGGTCTCCCTGCCTTGCTGAATGAGGTGGGTGGGTGTGCAAGACACCCTTACACTTCACTGCATCATGATTTTGAACCCTGGAGCAAGGCTCCTCCTGGTGGATGGAGAGGTCAGCAGCTGCCCCTCCCTGTTCCCTTTCTGTGGCTCTGATACAATGTATCCCAGGGACTCTTAACCACAGGTGGTTTTCTCAATGTTTGTGATATTGTTGCAGGCCTGACTGATGGGTTAAAGGTCTTAAAGGTCTTTTAACACTTGTGCTTAGTTAAGAAACTCACATACACAGCCCTTGTTAGTTGAGCAAATATGAATCCATCCAGTAAAAGAGGCAATTAGGTTGTCTACAAATTATCTACATTTTAGGGGCTCTGTTTGAAAGCTCCAGCAACACCCTCATGGAAAAATGGCCTTACTAAATGTCTGCTTTGGCTCCAAGGAGTACTTGTTCCCAGTCGTGTCTATTCCAAGGGAGCCTTAGAAATCACCTGGTCCAACTCCCTCATTGCGCTTAGGGAAACTGAGGCTTTAGGGAAATACCACCTGTCTGAGGTCCATTACAGGTGGTCAGCGGAGGGAGGAAAATGGACCAGCACCTCACAGCTGCTATGAGTATTTGTTAAAAGCAGTTTTTTTCAGACAGTTATATAACTTTTCAATATTTATTTATTTTTTTTTAAACTCTTTTTTTTTAAGATTTTATTTATTTATTCATGAGAGAGAGAGAGAGAGAGAAAGAGAGAAGCAGAGGGAGAAGCAGGCTCCCGCTGAGCAGGGAGCCCGATGCGGGACTCGATCCCAGGACCCCGGGATCATGACCTGAGCCGAAGGCAGACGCTTAACCATCTCAGCCACCCAGGCGCCCTACCTTTTCAATATTTAACAAAAACAGATAGGACACCTAATATCATTCTTAAAAAACTGTTTCCTTAAATCAATCGCACAAAGCTTCATTCACCCTGTTGCCGCTGCAATGTGCAAGCAGCCCCACCCTCCCTGCGCATCCGTCTGTGCTTGCTCAAAGGAACAAGGCTGTCCTCGGGCGCCCTGACGCTGCCCTCTGAGCAGAGTGCCTGGGCCTTTTCACTCAGCCCGGTTCTTCTTGTTGAGGATTCCTGACATCTGGCAGGTACACTGAGCCTGGCAACCCCAGAATCATATCACGCATTTGCCAACAAGCCCCCGCCGTAAATATCTGTCCTGAATTCACAAACTGTGACCCACAGGATTCACGTGAGCTTCTCCGCTCCTGGGACCACTGGTGACCAGGCCCCGGGCCGCGGTGTGTGACGGTGAGTGGAGGTGAGCAGGGGACAGGGAGAGGGCAGTCACCTCTGACTGTGCACAAGGACACCCTGAGGAGCCCCGCCACCACGATCCATTCCACGCGGACATGCACACACCCAGACGGAGGGACTGCTCTTCCCTTCCCATGGCTGTTTATGCCCTGAAATAACAGGAGACCGAAGACGTGACTCTTCGTCCTTTCGATATGCCCACGGAAGGACAATGCTTTGTGTTTTGGGGGGGCGCTTGCCACTGAAGTTAAAGAAATGGACACTTGGTCAGCTGTAACTTTACAGTGTCCTGCAGCAAGGATATAAACCAGTGACTGAGAAGAAAGAGAAAGAAGGAAGGTATTAGTTACGGGAATCTGGAATGTAAGGAAACCAGGGACAGCACAGAAATCGGATTAAAACCGCAGCGCTAATATGCCCAGAGAGCAGACAGCGACTGTAGGTGTTCCCAGAGAATCCACTCCTCATGGGAGGAGAGAACAAAATGCTGCCCCATCTAGGTACCACGCGACTGTCTGCATCACAGGGAGTCACAGCAAGGGATGTAGGCCGACACCTGCTCAACGCGAGGGGTGACGCCTTCCTCCTGGAGCATCAGCATCCCCACCTCAACCACATAGGACCAGCCACCCTCTCCTCCAATCTCACTTACGGGGCATGGGCCTCAGTCCCTGTGTTTACCACCAAGTGGGCTGAGCCTGTGGTGACCCAACCGCCTCTAGCTGACTCCATAAATTCAGCCCTGCAGCCACACTGAGCTGGGTGGGACACACGGCTGCTGGGCAATCCCTGAACCTGCCACATGTGAAATGGGGACAGAAGAGTGCCCACCACACAGCTCCGTGAAAAGAGAGGGGTTCATGTGTACAACACGTGGAAACTGTGGCTTTTGTGCCAGGAGTTCTGCTACTGTTCTAGAACACAGCCTGAGTGTGCGCCCCTGCTGCCCGCACCCAGCCACCCCCACGCACCACCCCAGGACGCCCTGGGATCCCCCATTAGTGCGCTGCCAGAAGAGCTGCATCTTCACCTTCCACAGTCTTGTGATCAATTCCCTTTCACTGATAAGTTGTGCAACCCTGAGAAGCATGATCGATTAGTTGCTAGGAAGACAAACTCAGATAATGGATAATGACATATCCCCAAACCATAAGGTGCTAGACACACATTCTCTTAGAACAATGTCACACATACATTTGTAGAATTTCTCACATGCTCCAAGCAGCTTTCCCACACCTCAGCTGCTCGGACCCCTAAATCAGCCACGTGAAACGGGTGTTATTCTAATGTGTGCACAAGTAAACCAAGGCTGCGAGGTTCTGTGCCTGGAAAAAGGCCCCCCGGCCAGACCAAGGGTCAGCGCTCCCACCGGGAAGGCGGGGGCTCCTTCCCAAGGTCCCCCACCTGCCCAGCTCCCCGCACACAGTGCAGTCCCAGCAGAGCCCTTGCACTGCACCCTCTGGCGGGGCAGGGTCACGTCCTGGGAGCGTGCAGACCAGGGAAGGAAGAGGGCTGAACACCCCTGACGGGCATAGCGCCTGCTCACACAGCACCCACAGCACCCGGTTCCCAAGTGCCACTCGGCCTCCAGCCCACGAGCCCTACCTGGTTGCTTCTGTCGAGGTTTAGGCAAGTTTGTGACACAGGTATGGGGGCACATCAGGACGTTGCAGGGGTGAAGTGAGCCCTCCAGGAAGAGCTGCTTCGTTTCTGACAAGTGGATCCCACCGAGCGGGGTTTTGGGGAGGGTATTTGCTGGAACCAAGGCTAGGCAATAAACCCCGACTTGATGTATGCTGTCAATCGCCTGGAAAGTCACGGGAGAGGGAACCACGTCAGAACAGGTATTACAGATGGACACGAAGCAAATGGGGTGACGGTCAGGGAGCAGGAAAGCACAGTTGTTGAGGGCCGGCCACATCCTAACAGATGGTTAAGGGAAGCTGGTACGAAAGCAGGAGCGGGACTCCCGGGCAGGTGAAGAGCTACCTGGAGCACCCTGCTCATCCACTGGAAGCTGTCTTCCTCCGTGGAGTCCGGCCTCTGCTCGGCCACAATCACGATCCTCTCGTCGTGCAGGACGGTCACCGAAAACACGGCTATCCTGTGGGGACAGGAAGGGTACAGCGCAGTGGGCACGCTGCAGATTGCCGGGAAATATCATTCTGCAATCAGGAGCTTGTAGCCACTGCTCTGGAATGGGAACCGGGCGAGGAGCAGCCTAGCATCTCCTGCCGGGGCTGCCTGCAGCTGATGGTGCCCACGCCACAGGGTGGGCTGAGATCCAGGAAGCCCTACAACCCGCATCCTGAGTTGGCACCTGTGAGGTCGTGTTCTCCACATCAGTAGGGACGTTCTGTTTGGGGTGAGTGGGTTTCTGCCGGACGTGCCTGTCTCTCTTGGTAAAGGCGGCATCGTGGGACTTGGACCCCCATGCCCCACCTCACACAGAGGCTGCACCTCAACAGTGAGTTCTCTCGGTGACACCCAAGTGTCTACCGCTTCTCCGCCTGTCAGCCTGACAAGCTGAAATAAGACTTTAAACAGTTAATGACTTCCTCCAAATTAGCAAAACCTCAGGAGCTAGCATCACTGATTTAATATGTACTGTGCAAGTGAGCAAGGGAGAGGTGCGTCAGGGAGGAGAAGCCGCAGGACTCCGTTTTCCCGCACAATCTGTGGCTCAACTGTTACCTGTCTTTTGAGATGATCTGCACCAAGATGAATATTTGGCTCTTTTCTTTGTGTATTTACTTTAAAAATAAGCTTTTTAAATAAATATTTTTACTTAACATAGACGTGAAGTGATGAAAACATATGTATGGAGCTCAGGAAATTTCTATAAAACTGGACATTCAGAACTAGTTGGAACGTCAGAGGTCATAGAGTCCCATCAGCTTAAGGAATCTGTGCAATTGTATATGCAAACCACTGAGTGCTGAATTCACAGAGGGCACACCTACCTTCCTCTGTAGACGAATTTCATGGGCTCCACGGCCAGCGCCGTGGCAACAATATCGTCCGCGTTGTGTCTGCGTCCGCTGACCACCATGAGCCCGTCCATCTTGCCCACCACAAAGACGAGCCCCCCGGGGCCGACGAAGCCCAGCAGGCCTGTCCTTACGAAGGGGTACTCACTGACGGGGGCCCCCGAGCTCGTCACGGGAAATACCTGCAGACACACAAGCTGTGAGTGCCGGGGGCGGTGCTCGGCCCACCTTCACCCTCCCCTGGAACAGACCGGACCGCGTTAGCCTAGTGGCGTCTCCTCGTGGAAGGCGCTGCCCCGTCCCCCGCCCCCCAACTTCTGCCCCTACTGCCCACATGCAGGGCTGCCCACTGGTTTCCTTCCAGGGCTTCTGAACCTAAGAAGTGATACCAGAGATCATTATGATAGCCTAATGAACACTAACTAATTCTTCTGTTTTAGATCCACAGCATCAAAGTGATAAATGGAAAACCGAACACGTGTATCCGTTGAAAATGATCCCTGTTCATCAGTGTTTCCCTATCAGGATGACACCGGGAAGGAAACACACAAAGGAAGCAAATCTCGGCGCCCCGAGCCTGCACCCGGTCCTCAGACCCTGCAGGTAAGTCACACAGAAGGGGAGATGGGTTTCATGCAGACTCTGTCTAGCTGGGCTTCAGGGACATTTTAGAAACTCGAATCCACCCTCAGCAAAGGCGCTGGCACAAGGCACCCCATTACATCATGTTCTAAACTGTAAGGGACGAATCCCAAACGACCCCCATTTCTCGTGCGTGATGTAATCAACGTGTGCTCTTCCTAAGGTAAGGCACCACCTGGGCGGGTGAGGTGTCAACTCCAGGAGCATGGTGGTGCGGCACGGAGCTCACTGCTGAACCGCGCATGGGCAAGGCCAGTGCGGGCACTAAGCGCAAGCCACACACGCATGCAGTCTCCTCGCACACAACCAGCTCCTGCCACGTGCATCTGTTCACACCTGCCAAGTCCAGCCTCAGTGGGTAGGCCCCAGGGGGCCCCAGCGAGGCCGAGACAGGTGTCCTCCATCCCTCAGCCTCTCGGCTGAGAACAGCAACATATAAAAAACGGCCCCTTTTAAGAAACGATTCTGGCCCTTTTCCCACACAGCTCTGATAAGCCAAATTTACTGAAAATTATACAACTGGCAGCAAAAAGTGCGACCATTTTAGTTACGATGAATATGTGTTATCGAGATACTGCCACCTTCTCTTTATGTCTGCATACCAGTGAGGGCCACCTGCAGAGCGCACCTGGAGGAAGCGCGCCCCTCGAACCTACCTCGAAGGTGTTCTTGGTCATGCCCGAGAGGCCGTAATAGGATGTGCCCGTTGCAATGGCACACACGCAGAGCTCCCCGATTTCATCTGTTCGACAAAGTTGAGGGATGCCATCCGGCTTCACCGAACACATGATGGCTGGAAGCAAAACAGGACGCAGGGGTCATGTTAGAGAGAGGGGCAGATGGTGAGGGCAACAGACAGAGGGACGGAGGAAGAGGGAGACAGACAGTGGGACGGAGGGCGACAGACAGAGGGACGGGGGGACAGAGACAGAGAGACAGGGATGGACAGGGGGACAGGGAATAAATGACCGAGCAGGAGTGAGAGCAGGTGAACAGGAAACAGCATCTGGAACATAAATGCGAATATACAAGTGGGCTGGGTACTCATTTTCCCTAAAGCGAGTCACGGATTTTCATGTTATAGTAAAACGTCCAGTTCCATTGTTGTGACATCAGTGAATAATTGACGTGTGGATCGTGTTTGAGGGGAGTGACCTCTGCCGTCCAGACCGAGGAGGGCACATGGAGGAAGCCCAGGGTCCTGGCTGCTCGGGTGCTTTCATACTGCACATGCCCCATGCTCCTGCCACAGACCTCAAGTCCGTGCAAGAGCTGGAGCCAGGGTTTCGGGAGGTGAGGTGTGCAACCAGCGATGGCTGGCCGTGCCCCGACCACAGCACATGTGCACATTTGTGGAAAAGGTCCGTGACTTTTAAGAACAGACTCTTCTGCAAGTGAGCACTACTGGTCATCCAGAGCCCCACGGATGGGTTTTTATGTCGTCTGCAGCCAGATTGGGTGCCCAGCCTTCTCCAGCGTGCTGGGATGGCTGGTGGGAAGAGGAGCCTTGCAGGGGGAGAAGCCTCTCAGGGGGAGGAGCCTCTCAGGGGCTGCAGGGGTGCAGCAGGGCCCACGGTGCCCCTGAGGAGGAGGACTCTGGGGTCCCAGCGTGAGAGGGGGCAGAGATGCCCGCGGAGGATTCCTGAATGTTGTCACCAGGAGGGGTAGCATTACCATCAAGCTTTAAAGATGCACAGCGGAATTTAAGCGTCCTGTTTGCGTTCATGCCAGAGGGGCACGGGGGTGCCGGGTGGGAGGGCATGTGCTAACGGACCAGCCCACCGGCCACAGCCAGGGTTCCCACCTCAACGCCCCACGCCACAGGCAGCCCAGTGCCCACACTCACCGCCAGGCATCACGAGGCCGACGTCCTGCACGGTGAGCACAGACAGCTTTTCCTCCGAGTCCACCCGGATGACACCATAGGTCAGCCCGTGCATGGATAGGACGCCCCGGCCTGGAGGCTGGTTGCTGTCATCCGTAGGCCTGAAAGAGCAGTTTTGTCTGAATACGCAGAAGCAAACAGGCTGCCGTGGCCAGAGAGCCACCCAAGGACACACACCAAAGGCAGCCAGCCATGTTGGGGTCCCACGGACCCCCGAACGCAAACCTGCACGCCACACCGCCCTGTGTTCTAGCTCGCCAGGGAATGCTGCTGCTCCGTCCACAAGATGTCGGTGTCACTAACTCTACCTCCAGGCTTCCAGAATAGTTTAAAAACACCTTAGGAGCGTGAAGACCCCCAGTCAGTAGACTGACTGATTCCTTCTCTGCCCGTCTCTCTCCGGGTCAGATTTTCCAGTGTGGCAAGTGGATAAACACAGAGAACAAGGTCTCCAAGAAGAGATTCTGCAGGGAGCAGAACTGGTGGAGATTCTGCTGGTCCTGCCTCGAGTCGGACGTGCCCTGTGCGGACACACACCATGGGTAAGAATCTGAAAGGAGAGTCATGTGACACTGAGCTGGATGACAAGCTCTTAGGGAAGGTTTTGGCTGAGAGGTGTTCTGTAGGATGCTGTAGGGTCCGGGAAGAAGTACAGTTTCACTGCCTCTGTCTCCTCCATGGCCCGTGAGCCCCAGGCCTCCCGCTCACTCCACGCTGCCCCTGCCGTCTCTCCAGGACCCAGCCCTCTCCCTCCTGGGGCTTTCTGTACCTGCTCCTGCCTCTCTACCTGCAATGTTCTTGTAGCAGCCATCCCCGTGGCTTCCCCCTTCACTGCCCTCTGGGGCAGCTCACATGTGCAAGGACTCCTCATCCCATAAAACAGCACACCCCCAACTCCTGTCTGCACAGCAGGTGCCTCGTCCATCAGTCTCAGCTTCCTGAGGGCAAGTGGGTTTCCCTCTGTTCACTGCTGCATCCTTTCTCCTGGAGAGATAGTCTGTCGGCTACTGAACAGATGAAATCTTTCCAAGAGCATGGATTTTATCCCTGTAGCTAAAGACCCTTGTGTGTGAGCTATGAGCTAAATGAGAGCCAATTTAGGTGAATACCACACTTGTTCCTGTAACTCTCTATACACGCATGTGTAGCGTTGCTTTAGGATCTAAAAGTTGGAGGATAAACAGAAGCTTGCTGTTTGGTTTTAAAATAGTATCAAGATTTAAAATGAGCCTAAAAACATAAATAGGGAAACGTAAAAGTTAAAATGTGCAAAAGGAGGTCTCATTTGAATCAAGTAACTGGTGTGTTTAAAAAAGAAGCCTATGCTATATGTCAATTCTATCTTAAATAAAAACTAAAAATAAATAATAATAAAAAGGAAGCATAAGAGAGTCTGGAAATTGAATTGTTCCATCTGCTAAGAAACAAAAAGGTAGAACTAACCAGACATAGAAGAAAACCCTGCCCAAGTTAGAAGGTCCATGTGGAGCTACCTGGAAAGAGCCCCAAACACTGGAACCTAAGATGCTCTCTAAAACGAAAGGAGGAGCCCCACGGGAACCCTGTGCCACCAGGACTCTCGACCCCCACTTCTGTCCTCAACAAATGCAACATGACAGTCAGGAATCAGAAGGCTTGGTCCTCGCTGTGGGTTGTGTCTCCAAAACCTATGACCTCGACTGTGACCTTATTAGTGTGAAAGGGAGTCTTTGCAGAGGTTGTTGGTTGAGATGAGGTCTTACTGGATGGAGTGGGACAGACCCCAATCCAATGACTGGTGTCCTTATGAGAGGAGGAGACACAGATGGCGTGTGACACAGAGGCCATGCGGTGCCGTGTCTCCAGCCACGGAGCCACAGACGGGGCACCAGCAGCGGGAGGGCCTGGAGCAGATGCTCGGCCAGAGCCTCTGGGAGCACCTGCCCGGCAGACACCCCGAGACCCGAGACAACAGTTTCCCCGTTTCCATGCGCCAGCCCCAGGCACTTACGACAGCCCCAGGACACAGACGCACCGAGCAACAGGGTTCAAAGGTGCACGTCGTTTGTTGTGGAAAGCCACGTGGAAGCAGAACGCAGGAGTGGCCGTGAGTAAGGGGCAGGCGGCAAGTGAGACAAGCTGCCTGTGAGTGCTGGGAGGGAAAGGCTTCAAGACTCAAGGACGCAAGTTCTGTGTCTTAGTGACGAGACCTGCCTCCCTCCGTTCCAGAACAGCAAGTGAGAAGCAAGACTCACTGGAGCCCAATTCTGGACTGCGTTTGCTACAAGGTCTTCAGTTACGTTTATAAAATGATACTATGGAAAACTGGGTAAACTCACTTAAAATGTGAACCAAAGACACCCATCTTGCATTACTTCTGCTGCTGAGCACTTGCATTTAATAGAGTCCCTCGCTGGTCAGAGAAAACTCAGAGCCCTGGATTCTTTCCTTTGCAGACAAGGGACACTTAAAAAAGCAGAAGAGAAGCATGTGAGTCCCTGGGACATGGTCCTCGGCTCGTCAGCCACCTTGCCAGGCAAAGCCTTCCGGTTCCATGTGTCAGCATTCGTGCAGGAACTGCTTGCGGGCAGCCCCGCCTCCCATGACAGAGCCATGCTCCACGGACACCTCTGTGCCCAACCGTCCCGAGCTGTCCACATACATGGGCTCAGCGATATGCAAACCTGCCTGGCACCACTTTATAGATCAGTAGCGGAGGCACAGGGATGTGAACCTAGTCGTCTGCGTCCCTGTGGGGCTTGGAGGGATCTGGACCCACAGCAGAGCCCGTGCCCAGACATGGACACCAGCCCGTCCCCTTTCCCAACACCTTCCCCACCTCTGGCCTCAGACATCAGCACCCCTTAGTTCACTGCACACTTTTCTTTTGAGGAAACTTTAGAACCAATGGTGTGTGTGAAACACGAGCAAGTCGTTCCATGGAGGAGTCAAGCACGGCAACGGAAGTCACAGTCACAGGTGTGTCCCCAGCCCACCCACCCCTGCCTCACAGGGGGCCACCACCAGAGACCCCCCCACCTCTTCTGTGTGCACTTACTAAAACGTGGGCATGCAGATACATCTGTACTCCAAGAAAAGCAGAACCAGAACAGGCATATCCTTCTACAACCTGCTCTTCCCCCGAGTGCATCTTGTGGCTCCTGCTGTGTGTGAATGTGTGTGACACACGCAGGATGCGTACTGCACACAATAAACCGACCTGTCTTACCTGCAGATGGTATCAGTCACAAGGACATGTGATCATTTAATTTCACTTTTATATAATTAGAAATATTACTGTAAGGCACACATCTAGAAAAGGAACTGAAGAATCAAAGACTACATTTAAAATTTGAATGAAGCCTAAATAACTTCCCAAACACCGTATCGTTTTGCATTTCCACTAAAAGTATTTTCTTGATTTACCAGACATGCGTATTGCACTGTTTCATGCAGGAGGCTGCTCTAAGCACTTCATGTATGTGAAGTATTCTTCCCAGCAGCTCTGTGACACAGGCGTGCCCATCCTCTCCATTCACAGGCAAGAGCAGAGAGAACAGAGGTGGGGCGGCCCCGAGGCACAGCTGTGGGGCAGACCCAGGCGTCAAGCTCACACCAGCCTCAATCCCTGTGCTTCCGGCTGTGGGGAAGGCTGCCTCCTGGCAGTCTTGTTTCCGCACACCCAGGACGACACTGTCATCAACCTTAAAACTGCTCCTGGCTTGATGGGTAAAAGCCAATCCTCACTGCTGTTTCGGTTTGCATTCCCTTGATTATTGACCACATCAGCCTGTTTTTTGCTCCATTAACACCTTCCTAGGAAATAAAAAGTCCAAGTAGATTAAACTAGGTGAGGAAGTGAAAAAATGACCCTGGTGAGAACTCCCAGGGATTTCAAAAAGATGTGCTTTTGTGATCAGACACAGTAAAGCTGAGCAACGGCAGAGAGGACGCTGGACCTATCCGTCAACCTCCAGGTTCAAGGCAATTCTCAGGATGCAGAGTCTTTGTGCTCAGAGATACAGAAGGAAGATTATATGTAGCTGTGTGTGGCTAATCCCGCAATCAGAGGCAAATCACAGAAAGACCTGAGACGGACGACAGAAGGTGCACACGAGCTCAGCCTCAGGAGGAATGTTCCCGACGGCCAATGGCTTCACCGGGACGGCGTGTGCACCTGCTGCTCACCTGTCGCTCTGGTCCCACCTGGGTAAACGTTAGATAACTCTTAGGCCATCATGCTGTGTGACACCTGAAGATGTATCTCCTCTAAGTTTCAATGAACACATCTACAGTTTGGTATACCGGCCAAGCTCAAATCCACACCAGTGGGAAATAAATGCAGTCAAGTAAGTGGTAAGCATCTGGGATGATTTCTACTCCCATGATTTAACAGAGAAATGGCCACCACACCTCCAAGGCTTCAGCACCACGATCTCCCACTGAAGGCTTTTGCAAGCACGACTACAAAGATCCCTGCTTCCGTCAGATGGAGGCAACCTCCAGTTCGAGAAGCTGTCAACTCAGGAACATCTGGAGAGCCAAAGGGCCAAGTCTCGGGAAAGTGCCCTTTCCTCCGCCAGCACCAGGATTTACTACAGCATTTTTGCATTCAGGACATGTTGTCACAGAACAACGCACCCACCCAAGTACACGTGATGTGACCACAGTAACACTGACGTGAGCCCGATGCCTGAATTCTTACCGCGCACCATGCAGATACTCTACGTGTACAGACCCATCTGCTGTTCACGCAGCACCGTGACATGGCACGGCAGTCACCCCCCGTCACGGACACGGACTCTGAGGCCTGAAGGGAGGCACTGTGATAAGTTACAAAGCCGGCAAGAAGAAAAGCAAAGGAAGGAAAGGCCAGAACGGTGACCCAGGCCGAGAGACTCCAAAATCCACTGGTGGGCGCTGTGCCGGACTCGCTGGACACAGAGCATATGAAGCTGTCACTGCACGCACAGGGCGCATGCCTGGGGCACACGCATGGGGTGTACGCATGGGGCGCACGCCTGGGGTGCACACTCGGGGCGTATGCACGGGGCATATGCACGGGGTGCATGCCTGGGGTGTGTGCACGGGGTGTACTCATGGGGTGTACGCACGGGGCACA